CCCTTTTCTGTTTAAATAAAAAGGAATGTTTTAACTTTAACATAGTAAAATTGCATATATAAAATGGGTATCAAGCAAGAGTTACAGTTATAATATTCATATCTACTTTACCTTTTATCATAACTAAGGAAAACTATAACTATCAATTCTTGAACTCCATCAAAGATCGCAGAAGGATATAATATTACCTAAGTAAACAGGAAGTGCATTGTAAGCAACTTCCAAAACTCTAGAAATGACAGAGACACCTTGCTGCCTGGACAGTCACTCAAAGTTCTTCTGTACTGTTGGGGCATCCATCTTCAGCCTACAGGCCCATAGTATCCAGAAGACTTTTCCACAAAACAGAAAATTTCAAAGACAATTCCACCTATATTGGCAGTTTGTCAGTCACTTTCTTCTGTGTCCTGCAGAATGTCTTGCAGACTCTTTCATGAAACAGGAACCCCGAAGGTCCTTTCTCACCTTTAGGCAAGTCCAGCAGTCATTTTCTGCTGGTCCTGCATGTCCAGTTCATCAAGTAGTCCAGACAAGAGTAGTTTCTTGCCCAAATGGCTAACTAACTCCATAAGTAGCCTCTTCAATGCCTATCTTCCTCTTGAAGTAATTGGTGCTGCCAGGAGCAGATGTATCTCATTGTCATAAAAAATCCTAAGCTCGCCCGGCGATGGTGGCGCACGCCTTTAATCCCAGCACTCGGGAGGCAGAGGCAGGCAGATCTCTGTGAGTTCGAGACCAGCCTGGTCTACAAGAGCTAGTTCCAGGNGAGTTCGAGACCAGCCTGGTCTACAAGAGCTAGTTCCAGGACAGGCTCCAAGGCCACAGAGAAACCCTGTCCCAAAAACCAAAAAAAAAAAAAAAAAAGGCCTAAGCTCTTAAAACATTTTAAATGCCATATTCTGAAGGTCTTTGAAAGATTTTAAGAATAGCTAACTAAAATATATTTCTATATCTATAAAACCTAACTGACTACAAGCTTGACTATTACAGATGACTATCTATTAACCTATATTTCTTAAATTTACATTACATTTTTAAATGAACTACACAATCATGATACCTTAATCAAGAGCAGAAATATACATATAATAAGATTGACCTTAAATTTGTATCAATAAACCAAGATCCATACCAATGCAAGTCTCCTAGCATATCCCCCTTTAAATATAAAGAAACATTTATAAACAATATTTGGGAATTTGGTTGTAGTACTCTCCAAAGTACTTCCTGCTGTTTATTGGGTGAAGTAATTTTTTGAGGGGTATTCAAGGCAACCTTTCAGGAGGTCTTGGTCTATCAAACTATATTAGTCTGGAAGCAATACACAGGTTCTCATTCTCTGTGGAAACAAAAGAAGAACCTCTTTTCCAAAGCAACATATCCTTAGACTCAAATTTTGAATTTAAGATTCCTTTGAATTATATATGTTGGCTTAGCTTAGCAATCCCCAGAATCAAAGGTCTCTCTGCTGTCAAAAATATTTTTTGCAGTCAAAAAAATTCAAAGGCAACACAATAATATACATAGTACAGACTCTCTGTGAATTTTCCATCTTTACGTGGCTTATTATTACTTAATTCTTTAATCTATGACCGTCTGTACTCTGACTCTTTAAAGACTTTGTTTTATTTTTTTAAACCATTTACTTCGTTTCCAACTCTCTATACTCTTTTTCTTCTCTCTTCCAAGCCTATGTACATTTATCCAACACTGTGACCCATTTAGAGGTATTTTATTTCTGAGTCTGTCCTATTATGTATCTGTAATTCTTTACTGTCTTGAACAGCTTTTAAAATGGTAAGCAGCTTGGTTGGAGTGCCTCTGGATGCTGTCTCCACCTCTCTCCAATTTTAAAATGGTAGAGGTACCAATACTCCTACTCTGGGACTGCCAGGTAGGAGCCATGCTCAGCACTTTAACTCTGAGAATGAGCATGCAGCACATAAACCCTTTTTATCTGAGGAATAGCTAGATATGCCATGCAGAGCATTGCGCAGCCTGGAAATATCTATTTGTATGGCAGCAGGAATCTGCCATGCTCTCCTACCTGTGCACTCCTAGCAGTCCTGATCCTACTGCCTGCCCAGGCAGGGGGCGCTGAGCTGCAGGCATGGTCTCAGCTACTTTCCCAAGTGGGCATACAAGCACCCGGGCCCACAAGCCCCATTCAAGTGCTCCATAGCTGGACCTCCAGAAAGAATCAGAGCTCATGCTGACAGCACAGCCCAGAAAGTTGGCATTTCAAAAGCATGGCTTTTTTTTTTTCCCTACCACTGAGTCAGGATAACCTCTCTTAAAGGAGCCGCAGTTTGCCCCCAGCAAGCAAAGCCCATTAGGGAAAATAAATACAGCAAAACTTTGTTTTTTAGTGTTTAGAGTTCCTTTTCAAGTTCTCTCAGGTTTTACATAGATTTAGTCCACCACATTGGCATGCCAATTTGTAGGAGGGAAAGAGGCCACTTGTTGGTTCTGGGCCATTTAGCCCCAAAATAATCACACAGAAACTGTATTAATCAAATCACTGCTTGGCTTCTTCTTGGCTAACTCTTACATATTAATTTAACCCATTCCTATTAATCTGTGTATCATCATGCGGCTGTGGCTTACGGGCTAATGTTCTGTCTAGCTCCTGCAGGGCTACATGGCTTCTTTCTGACTCCACCTCCTTTCTCCCAGCATTCCATTTAGTTTTCCCTGCCTACCTATTCTTTTGCCCTATCAGGCCAAGCCATTTTTCTTTATTAATTAACCAATCATATTCACAGCATACAAAGGGGAAATCCCACACTGCTCTAGGATCCCATAGTTTCACCACCACCAGCTGCTAGGTGGCCTGGATTTTTCAGATGAGGGTGAGGGCCCTGATGCCCGCTGTGACCCTTCCCACCTTTGTCATTTTCTGAACCACAAAAGGAAATTGAAATGTCACCAAAGTCTCACCCTGTCCCTATACCCTCTTTTAGGAAGTGCAAAAAGTGCAAAGTCAGAGCCAGAAGACTCAGAAAGAAGGGCAGAGGCCAGGACTCCATTATGCTAATTTAATTAAGTCTAATCTGCTGACAGAGGGGTGGGAGTGGGGGGCCTTGAAGAAAGAGGCTTTTGTTGAAGCCTCATGTTTGGCAGGAAGTCACAGTCACCCTCCCTCAGAGATGAAGAGTCAAAAGCTCTGACTGGGTCCTGGCTTTCACATCTAATGTTGCTAAGGCTTTCTTTCCACACTCCCCTGGCCAGCTCCTCAACTTTTCCAGGAAGAAAATGCACCCCAGATGTTGGTCAGTAAATGAAGGGCTTTCATCCGCCTTTATGAAAGAGTATCAATAATTCAGAACACCCACCCCCAAGATGTCCATCAGAGAGAGAAATGCAACCAGTTTCTCTCCATCAATAAACCGAAGGTTTCCTGGTAGCCTAACCCCTCCCTGCAGAGGTCAAGGAGCCCCCCACTTCAGAACACCCACCCCCAAGATGTCCATCAGAGAGAGAAATGCAACCAGTTTCTCTCCATCAATAAACCGAAGGTTTCCTGGTAGCCTAACCCCTCCCTGCAGAGGTCAAGGAGCCTCCCCCTTGAGAACACCCACCCCCAAGATGTCCATCAGAGAGAGAAATGCAACCAGTTTCTCTCCATCAATAAACCGAAGGTTTCCTGGTAGCCTAACCCCTCCCTGCAGAGGTCAAGGAGCCTCCCCCTTGAGAACACCCACCCCCAAGATGTCCATCAGAGAGAGAAATGCAACCAGTTTCTCTCCATCAATAAACCGAAGGTTTCCTGGTAGCCTAACCCCTCCCTGCAGAGGTCAAGGAGCCTCCCCCTTATCATTCTCATTGCCATTGTGTAGCTATCATAATAGCCACCATCATAGCTGTCCATGAGCTATGTGTGTATGTGTGTCTGAGCACACAGACCACAGACTGTGCCCTCTTATTCTCCCGGATCCCACTCAGAGTCAGTGGTCCAGCCCTTGCCTCACATGCTCAAGGCCCTAGGTTTGATCCCCAGAACCACCAAAAGAAAAAAGTCCTAGGAAGCCTTTGTAGCTTCTCCATTTTCCATGGCAATATGTCACTTTCCCATAAGGGTCAATTTTAAGCTGCCAACTGTTTTATACTGATTTGTCTTTTGTTTTTTTTTTTTTTTTCTGCAGTTCTTGGCTGACTTGGTGGGGAGGGAGTATAGTGCTTTGTTTTGTTTTTTTGCTTGTTTTGTTTTTTGAGACAGGGTCTGTCTGTGCAAACCTGGCTGTTCTGGAACTCACTCTGTAGACCAGGCTGGTCTTGAACTCAAAAGATCTACTTGCGTCTGTCTCCTGAGTGTGTGCACTACCGCTTTTTAACAACTGGTTTGTAAAATTCCCCGATGCTTAAAACCAACTCTGGAGACATTCTAGACTGGGTGAAAGCTCTCCTCCCCCTCATGGAGTCATCCCTCCACCTCCAAGCAGAAGGCATGGGTATCGCATGGGAGCCAAGGGGGAGCTCTAACAAAGGGCTGTTTTCAGACTCTGCTCTATTTTATTTCAGATGTTTGAGGTGAACTTTTATAATCAGAACACATCTAAGTTTATTAAAATCATTTTTGGTAAACCTACTGGAATGCTTTGCCATAACTGCCCTGCATAATTTTTGTCATCTGTGTGTGTATTGGATTTTGTGTGTGTGTGTGTGTGTGTGTGTGTGTGTGTGTGTGTGTGTGTGTAAGTGAGCTGGCTTTCCTGGGCAGAACAGAGCACAGATGCATCCATCTGAATCTGGTCTAGTTAATCCTCTTTAGGGCTCAAGTTTCCTTAGCAATGGAGAAAATGAAAGATTCTGGAAGTTCTGCACTAACAAAGACTCTTTGGCCTCCAGTGACTTTGCCTCTTCCACGTGAACTGGGATGGAAGCAGATGCTTGGAACTAAAAACAACTGCTCCTTCTTTCCTGAGCCTTAGAGAACTGCCTTGGCTTTCCCCAAAGAGGCATTCTGCCGTCTCCCACGAGCTGGATTTAAGGGTTCTTACCTCAGCATTCGGACGGAAAGTGGGGTGCCACGTATTTGGGAGAGGCTCAAAGGGGCCAGTTCATTTCAGTTGGCTTCTGTGGCACTGATTGCTTCCCTCTGGGCCACTGGCTGCTGAGTTTGGCACAGTTGGCTCTAGCCCTGCCTGCAGGGAAAAGTGAGATGCAAGCTGAGCTCAAAAACACAGGTGTAAATACAACAGTGAGAGGAAGCGCCCTTCCCCTCCCACCCCTGCCACCACCTTCCTGCCCCAGCAGCTCCCCATTCAGAGTCCCTTTCAGGGCACGTCACCCCCAGGAGGAGCTAGCCTCTTCCCAAATGACCCGAGCTGGCTGTTTGCTCGCCCATATCCACCTGTTCTCGCCCAGTCTGAGGAACAAACTAAGGAAAGCAAACATTACTGGAGCCAGTGAATCCTGATGCCACCCAGTTACCTGGAGAAAGGCGAGGTAAGACATCTTCCCACCCAGCCCGAGTCCTGTGTGCAGACAAAGCCTGCAGTTTTGTTGCTCTCTTCAAACCTGCTCAGTATCCCAACCCAGAGCACACTGTTTCTGCTCTTACAAATATGAAACTTCTCGTTCACTCTGCAAGCACTTCTAACTGGGTCTGCCTTTTCAATCCAGAGGCTGCATTTGCATAGATTGAATTAACTGCATTTTACCTTGGGTCAAAGAAATCCAGGTTCCATTTATACATTTAAAAGAAGAAAAAAAATAGCCAGGTGGTGGTGGCACAAACCTTTAATCCCAGCACTTGGGAGTGTGGATGGCTGAGTTTGAGGCCAGCCTGGTCTACAGAGCAAGTTCCAGGACAGGCTCCAAAGCTACACACAGAAACCCTGTCTCAAAAAGCCAAAAAAAAAAAAAAAAAAAGAAAAGAAAAAAAGAAAACTACCCATGATAGGCCTATATTTTCTGATTTGCGTGGGGGGGGGGTGTCTTTCCTGTTAGCCAGATTTTTTTGTAAAGATGGGAAAGGGTGAGGTGTGGATTAGTGTGAGCCCTCCCAATGTTCTGCAATGTCATTTAAGGGCTACATAATATGCATGTGTCCCGGTTCCCCTAGAGTCTATGTGTGGTGCCCTGATGTGGGAGTGTCATATATCAATCTGTTGATTTCATTGGCTGAGCAATAAAGAAACTGCTTGGCTTAGCTTAGAGCATAGATGGGAGGAGGAAACAGAATAGAATTCTGGGCGGAAGAGGAAGTGAGGTCAGACTCTGCTCTGCTCCCGGAGACTCAACAGCTCTGCTCTCTGGAGCAGAGACACCATGGACGGAGGCTAGAATCTTCCCGGTAAGCGCACCTTGGGGTGCTTACACGCATTATTAGAAATGGGTTAGCCGAGGTGCGAGAATTAGCCTGTAAGGGCTAGAGTTCATGGGCCAAGCAGTTCTTTAAATGAATACAGTTTGTGTGTTGTTATTTCAGGCGTGAGCTAGCCAAGCGGCCGGGGTATTGGGGATGCAGCCCCGCCGCCGCTCCTATTTCAACAGTGCCCTCCATAGTGAACTATAAATTCTACATGACTCTCAAAGGCTTGGCATTCAAGTCCCCACAAATTCTTTTTGTGATAATTACATATAGTATTTGAAACTCTATCACCTCAAAAAAATTTAGAAATATATCAAAACAAATAAGCAAAAGACTTCTACAATAAAACAGATCCAATACAATACCTATCAAAATTCCGATGCCATATTTGACAGGGTTAGAAAATAAAAACCATTCAAGAGTTCATATAAAGATACAAAAGACCATGAATAGTTAAGGCAATCCTTAAGAGTAAGAGCATAGCTGGAGGTATCGCTATACCTGGCCTCAAATTCTACACTATAGCACAGTAATGGTAAGCACAGCGTGACAGTGGCTTCAAAATACACAGGGAGACCGATGGTATAGGACAGAGGACACATAAGGAAATGACAAGCTATGACTAAGTTTTGACAGCGGAGGTTAAAATAAACACGCCGTTCGGGGGTGGGGGCGAAGATAAACTCAACAAAATGATGACAAAGCTGGATTTCTGCCTGCAGAAGATAAAATTAGATCCGCATCTCCACCTTATTTAAAAATCCCTTAGAGTGGATCAAAGGTCTTCATTTAAAACCTGAAACTCCTTGATTTCGAGAAGGAAGCCCAGGGAATACTCTTCATGAGGGCGGGCAAGAACAGTTTACATAGAACACCCATAGCGTGGGCTCTACTCCCAGCCACTAACAGATGGACAACACGAACACAGAAAGTTTCTGCAAAGCAAAGCAAATAACCAGCAGGGCACACACACAGCCCACAGAGTAGAGAAAATCTTGGCCAGGCACATGGCAGACAAGGGGCTGAGGGCCTGCATTACAAAACAATCGCATAAACTAAAATTCACAAGAACAAAATTGCCAATTAACAAATGGGCCAACAAACTGGATAGATGGTTTTCAGTACAAAAAAAGAAAATAAGAAGGAAGCACAAATGGCCGATAAATATGTTTAAATGGCTTCAATATCCCAGCCATCGGGGAAACAGAAGTGAAACGACGTTGAGATGCTATTTCGTCCCAGTCAGGAAGGCTATCAACAACAGGCCTGACAACAAGCGTTGAAGAGGATGTGGGCAGGAAGGAATCCTTGTACGCTGTTGGTGGGAAGGCAAATTAATACAGCCGCTGTGGAAATCAGTTTGAATATTAAAAAAAATAGATACAGAACTAGCACATGACCCAGCTGTTTCACTCCTGGGCAAATACCCAGAGAACTCCTTGCCTTACCATAGAGATATTTGCACATCATTTTATTGCTGTTTTGCTCACTCTAGGAAGCAATTGGAACCAATTTGCCTATTAACAGATGAACAGATAATGAAAATTTGGTGTGTGCGTGTATGTGTGTATGTATGCGTGTGTGTGTGTGTGTGTGTGTGTGTACGAACCCACAAAATTTTCATAAAAATGGAAGAACTTGGAATGCTTAGAAGAAAAAACATTAATAAGCTCACATAATCTCAGAAAGAAAAGGAAAAAAAAACCCAACATGTTCTTCAAATCTGGAGCCTAGCCAACAATATATGTTCATATATAAACAAATATACTTGTGGGTACAGTATGGCATGCAGACTGGAGAACAGGGAAGGGTAACAGGTAAGAAGGAAGGACTGAATGTGTGCAAGGGCCACAAGCCATGAAAGAAGTTATAAAGCTAATTGGTTTTATAGCTTCAACTCTGTCATGCATTTTTCAGGTTTTTTGGGGGGTGGAGGATATGTGCATAAAATATATTTGATACTGAAAGCTTAAAATCTAATGTGAAGCTCCACAAGTTCGGATATTCTAACTGCGCAGAAGCTCATGAGATGTTCAGACTTGGCGCCTGTTTAATTTTAGTGTAAGGTATTGTTTCTTTTTCTGGCAATTGTGTGTGTGTGTGGTGTGTGTGTGTGTGTGTGTATTGGAATAAACCCATAATCAATTCCTTAAGTAGCAGTCTGGCAGAGCAAATTGCTGGGTCAAAGACTTCCCAGGGGTTTGCGTAATGGAAACAGCAACCTCCAAGGCCACTGTGCCGGAGAGGAGTGGCATCGCTCCCGTGGTGCTTTCTCCCACACATCACAACCACGCTCGTGGAAATGAGGATGGGGTACCAGGAGTCTGGGTTATCCTTTCTTGTGCTCACAAAAGCTCAGCTTCCATCTCAGAGCAGATCCTTGATGCTAGATGGGGGGGGGGGGGCGCAAGAGGAGGAGTGCCTGAGTAAGAACAGGCAGGGAGAAGTTAGGAAGCCATAAAGGGCAGGGAAAGGGTAGTCAGATCACAAAGACAAGTGTTCTGACAAGTGTTCAGGTTCGGAGACAAAAGTCTTACAGACAAAGGGAAGCAAAGGCCATGCTTTTGACAGAGAAAACAGAGGTGAACGAAAACTAAGAAAACTGAAGCCGACCTTGCTATTTGCAGCGCTGGTGAACAGCAAAGGCAACAGGTGATACAGGTATAATTAATGTCAACAAAACACCAGAAGCCAGCCAGAGGCACTGTGGTGAAGGCAGGCCGCCAGTGGTGCATGCTCACAGCCAGCCAGAGATCAGCTGCAGGCCTGCCGGAAGGGGCTTTCCAGCAATGGGAGAGCCTTGGGCAGCTGGCTCACCAGCATCCTTAGTGGGAAAGCCCCCCCTCCAACCTCCACTCCACACCCCACACACATATTTTCTCTGTAGTCAACCTGCTTGCCTTCTTTATTCTAGGCCACCTTTATTTAGTGAAAGATAGATAGTAATTCACCAGCCAATCTGGTCACACAAATGGCTGGATTTCTGAGACCCTAATGTCCCAGGCAATGGGGAGCCCTTCTCCTGGCCTTTCCTAGTTGACTATCCCTGTATGCTCTGCACTTTGGCAGGCCCCTGAGAGGTTTGTGGGCTCTCTTTTTTTTTTTTTTAATTTTCTTTCAACTTCTTAAGTAAATACCTTGCAGGTTTCCAACATTAATAGTAAGTCACCCACACTCCCAGGCCTACCCTGGAAGATAAAGGAAAGAACTTTAAGGTCAATAAAAGAGAGAAAGTAGGGCTGGAGAGATGGCTCAGAGGTTAAGAGCACTGACTGCTCTTCCAGAGGTCCTGAGTTCAATTCCCAGCAACCACATGGTGGCTCACAACCATCTGTAATGGGGTCTGGTGCCCTCTTCTGGCTTGCAGGCATACACACAGACAGAATATTGTATACATAATAAATAAACAAATATTAAAAAAAAAAGAGAGAAAGTAGATATTGTTGATAGACCCTTCTAAGGTAAAGTTGCAGAACCTGAGATAAGCAAATGACACACACAAGATTAAGGCAAGAACAGTAGGGACCTGTGGTAGAATGAAGCTGGCAAGCAGTGACCCAGGCAAAGGCTGGAAGACGCAGACAAGAAACCATCAGACCCTGGACAGATAGCACATGCTTGGTGGCCACAGTAGCAGTGAACTCTGCTTTTATTTTGTTCATTTTTTATCTTTCACAAAACTCCCTTTGGACATCTCCAGCCATCAGAGAAATGCAAATCAAAACAACACTGAGATTCCATCTTACGCCTGTCAGAATAGTCAAGATCAAAAACACTGATGACAGCTTATGCTGGAGAGGATGTGGGGTAAAGGGAACATTCCTCCAT